CGGACGCCCAGGCTCTAACTCTCAGTTCAGGTCACACTCCCTCTCTCCTCGAGAGCTATACCTCTCAGCTCCCACCTCTGCAAACACCGTGCACACGCTCACGGTCCTACCTGCCAGAAGCCTCCAAGCTCCAGCACTAAACTCCATGAAGTGCAGCAGGCGGACAGACAGGCTATGTTCATTCATCACCCACAAAGTCACCCAAGAGATCCGTGACACACAAGCGTGACGGTGCCATCACCACGAGCAAATGCCATCCAGATGGCGCCCAGGACAGGCAAGTTGAATCATCTCCAGCAGGCCTGAGGATCGACATTCGGAACGCATCAGAGGCACCAGAGGGCAAGCAGAGAGTTCAAACCAGGGGCCACTCCTCATTAGCTTCCCTCTGGATGATGTGTGAAGAAATGATTCCTGAGGGAAGAAGTATCCCACAGTCCCTGATTAACCTCTCTGCTGGTTTGAACCGGTATCCCAGTAGGGGACCTCTTGTCCCTGGGTCTTGGTGGGGTAAGAGTGGGAACTGCTCATATCCACGTGAACCATAACCCACATGCTCAGAGCTGACGTGGCTTCTCAAACCTCACTTTATGACCCCAGTGTGGTGATTACATAGTGTAGGAGTCAGGATCCTGTACGTTAGATGCCAGAGGTCCGGCTCAAAGGAGACTAGGGGAGCTGAAGCGTACTGGCCCCACACCTACAAGTGGACCAGGCTTCAGGTGCACACCCTCTAAGGAGGTCCCGTGCTGGCCTCCAGCTCTCGCCGTGTGGTCTCAGTCTCCCTGCAGCTCTTCTAGGAGCAGCAGAGCTGCTCCCATCCCACCAGCCTGGCCAAGCCCCTTCCCAAAGATTTCCAACCACGAACCCTGGGTCTGATGGGTCCACATTGGAGTGTGGGATCTGCCTCTACAGAGCATGTGACCAGCCCACCAGAGCTCAGGTGTGGGGTGGGATGGCCCGCCCAACTCTCCTGGGCTAAGAGGGAAGCAGGGAGACGGGCTTTCTGACCAGGAGGAATGTGTGCTGGCAAAAGCACCAGGCATCTATCACAGGTGTCATTCATCTAAATTCATCGACAGATTGATTGTCTAGGTTATCCAAGTGCTATGGGGTGAGCAGAAAAGGATGTGAAGTTTATAAATGGGCAATAATTACCACTGGAGAATGTGCTTGGGTGAGTGGACCCCCCTCGGGTCTGTGTGATACCTGCACACTGTCTGCCAGGAGCATCACGCCGCCCCTCTGAGCGGCAGCCCCATCCAAGCCCAAGCTGAGGATTAAAGTCCCTCCAGAGAAACTGAATGAGAAGGCTCTAGAGACGTCCGTGTGGCCCCTGACGTCCCACCACCCAGAACCCTCCTTGAACTGTTCCCCATTAGCGGCAGAGCCAGGTTAAAGCCCCACCTTCACCAAATTACAGGTACTGTGCACAGGTACACACTGACTTTACCAGGAAGAGGAAAAGAGATCCTGACCCTTGCTGAAAAACAGACTCAAAATTCTTCTAATAGCGGAAAATCCTCCCAAATAGATGGTGAAAGCCACACAAGGCTCCCAAAGTGTGCATTAGAAGCCATAAGTGAGTCCTTTGTGTCAATGCATGAAAACATGTACCATTTTTAGAGAAATGAGGACTGAGTGTCTGTCTCACACACACTCACACATGCCTTGGGTGTTGGGTGAGTCTCCCCCACATCCCTCTCCCCAACTGTAAGCAGGTACAGTGCCCTGGTGGCCATGCTGAGGGCTCAGTGAGAACGTGGAGAGGATTCCGTATCACGGACCACGGCATTATTAGGACAGTGGGCATATGTGTCGGCAATGGCTGGAGGTCAGAGGTAAGAATCAGGTTTATGGAATTGTATGGTTAAATTATCTGCAATAGTTAAATTAACTGCAATATCAACTTATAAATTTTTATAATGTCTTAGCACAAAAAAATATGGAATCAAATTCCTTTATAGGACGCTATCCTGTGGGGTCAGGGAAATGGCAAGGAATAAGAGGCACCCCGGAAAGGGATGAGGTGGGGGCTCCCCTCGCTCCCCACAGCCCGTGGAAGGAGGATGTTGGTGGCTGATGAAGACCTTCTCTGTCATCACATCCTGAGTCATCTCCCAGGTGGTCCCCAGGTTGGGCCTGAGTGGAGGCACAGGAATCTGGACAGGTATGCGGATGCCACAGGAACCTGCTCCCACAGTCTCTGCAAACACACCCCTGACACCCACAGAAACCGGCCTGCAGTGTAATTATACACAGAACCAAGAATAAAGAAATGCAGATGTGAGCCCTGCCCTGAGTGAGCCCACCACCCAATGAACCTGACATTCGTCTGAACATTCTCAAAATAAACACATTTTGGTAAGAAACAACCACAAGAGGCAGATGCCACGCACCGTGCGGATGGTGGCTGAAGCGGTATTTCAGAACCGTTGTGTTCTTTAAACATTACAGCTCATTTCAATGAATACCAGTTATTCAAAATTATAGCACATGATTGAAGTCCACAGTGTACTTAATTAACACATGTGAAAGAGATCTGAAACCATCCCAAACATCATCTTGTTTTCCTAGGACGTTCTCTGGCAATGGGACATGTTATTTCCCAGACACCGGTCCTGGTACGGTTTGCATGTCTCCCCACCCTGATTCAGTTTATGAAGTTACCAGGTCAGATATGACTCAGCAATCCCACCTCTGGGGATGCACCCAAGAGACGTGAAAGCAGTGAGTCAAACAGATATTCGCACACCCACGTTCATGGCAACAGCACTTGCAACGGCCCAGAGGTGGAAGCAGCTCAAGCGTTCACGAACGGAGGAGCGGAGGAGCGGAGGGCACATCCGCGCGTGGAATATCACTCAGCCTTAACGCGGAGGAAGCGCTGACACCTGCTACCACGAGGATGGATCTTGAGGACAGTCTGCCGAGTGATAGAAGCCAGAGGCAAAGGGGGAGACCCTGTAGGCTCCCACCTCTAGGAGTCCTCGGAGTCGTCAAATGCAGACGCAGAAGAGAAGGGTGGGTGCCAGGGGTTGGGGGGCGGGAGGAATGGGTGCAGAGGTTCCCTCTGGGGAGATGAGAAAGTTGCGGAGCCCAACAGCCATGGTGGCTGCACAATGCTGTCAACGCCCTTAATGACCCAGAAGCGCACACTTACAAGTGGTTAAGAGGATCAATCTTATGTTCTATGTATTTGAAAATCATACAGATATCGGTGGAGAGACGTTACCAGGTCAGGAGAAAGGTCTGTGTTGTGCTCTCCTGATTTCTTCCCACTTCTCTTCTGTCACAAGAGTAACAGCAGCAGCTCAGGCGGGAGCTTATCTGGATACCGTCATTCCTCCCGTCTGTCCGTCACCCCACCAGCCCCCTCAGTGTGGGGAAGCTGCAGTCGCCTGCTGACCGGCCCCCTGGCCACCCCCACTCTTCACCCCAATGCCACATTGACCCCAAAGCACCCAAATTCCTCCGTCCCCAAACCTCCACAGCTCGTTGCTGCCTAAGTGAAATCTCAACTCCCAGGCCTGACAGTCAAGGCCGCTAGACTGCACACTCACAACCCACCCACCGCCCTGGGGTGGCAGCGGTGCGCTCCGGCTCCAGGTCCTGGCTCCATCTGACCTCTACCACACGGTGTCCTCACTAAAGAGAAGGACTGAGGAGACGTGAAATGACACATGAACATGAAGAGCAATGAATGCCAGCGATGAGTACCTCCCATCCCCGGACACGCCCTGCACTTGTGCTCATGTGGTGTGCTCTACCGCGGATTCCGAGCCACACCCCATCCTTCCCACCACCTTTCTCGGGACGTCGGCCTTCACCTCACTCCTGACGCTTTGTCCTTGGAAGCCTTCAGCCTGCTGGCCTGGGATTTGGGGGGCCTCTGCTCTCATTTCACACCGCAGGGGCACAAGGTCCCCTGAAGGCAGAGCCACCCCATCTGCCCGGTGACCTGAAGCCCAGGGCTCACAGTGCCAGGGACAACTGCTGGGTAAGCAGGCATCCCAGAAGGTACCCAATGTGGTGACAGTTCCTCTCAGACTGGACACTTCAAGCCTGAGTACCTTTGCTGCCAGCTGTTTACAAATAGGGAATCTTACACAATGGAAGGTGGATGGTTTTTTGCACCGTGGGGCCCAAGGCTGGGAGGTGGCACCCAGAGGTCATGGCTCAGACTTCCGTGCCATCTGGAAGCCAGAAAGAGCAAGGACACCACACAGCAAGGAGATCTGGCAAGAGTACCTCAGTGCTACTAGCTCCTTGAGAATGGGGCCTCGAGAACCAGATCCTACAGATTAAGGAGGTGAGGTCAAACTTGAGGCCACATAGCATGGCATGACCACGCATCTCCCAGCAACTACAGGGTCACCACCAAAATGGCAAATCCACCTAAACCAGATGTTTAGAAAGAGCCTTCCTGGAGCAGCCAACATGACACCTTTGCCGAGTTGGGACCACCAAACGTGAGGATCTCAGTGTCAGTCACGTACCCAAGGGGGAAGGTCACCAGGGCTGAACCCAGGCCATCAGGCCTATGACAACAATCTCACCCCAGCCTCACCTTGCTGATGTCAGGGAACAGAGTCTCGAGATAGACTCCTACTCAAAGCATCCCTGTTACAGCACATCCTTACATCTGTGATTTATGACTTTGCGGGAACATCTGCAGCTAGGGTCCTGCCTCTGTGACTGGGACCTGAAGTATGGTCTCCGGTAGAAAACCCCTCTAACTGCTTTCCCTTCTCAGAAATACCACACGGTCGGAGAGCTTCTGCTCGCCAACGATCTGTCTGCTACCCTTTTAAAAATACGGATGAGGCCTGATTGCAAGCGCCCTGTAGGGCGTCCTCCTGCAGTCTCAGGAATGTCTTCTTTGCTGAAGAGGACCACGAATATTCCCTGCCTTCACCTGAAAGACATCTCTGAGGTCCACCTCTCAGAGCCCTGTACCAAGCACCTGCACCTCTAGCAGAATAACCACAAAAGCAGGAGGCAGAAGCAGATGTAACATTTACTCCATCCTCTCCTCCACTTTTCATATTAAATATCTGAAATATATTAATTTAAAAAAACAATATTAACACAGTACTCAAGGGATATAGGCAGTGGAGTAAATAGTAAGTCCAGATTGCAAAATCGTCAAGTGATTTTAAAAACCGGAGTGTGGGGATGGCTGATTCCTGGTGCGTCCAGCTGCCTCGTCAACGGGAGCAGTGAGGGAGGGACACAAAGCCATAAAAAAATATACGCGGCAACCCATCGCCCCATCCCTGGGAGGAAGGCGGCGGTGCGGCAAGCCCTTGGTCCAGGTTTGAAGCAACAACACCACCCCAGTTTGTCGTGCTGTCTGGGTCCGTCCCCTGACGCCTTCAGTCTCTAAGCAAGTGTTCAGGCTTGGGGTAACCGAAGAGGACAAAGTCCGCCTCATAGAGTTTGTAAAGCTGCTGCCTCCAGGCCAGGGGGATGGTGGCAAACCAGTCCTCCTCCCAGCTGCTGGCAGTTCTGTTCCGGTAACTCGGGGGGAAGTGTAGGACCTTGTCTACCTTGAGGAGCCGCAGGAGCTGGGCGGCGTCCTGGTCCAGCGTCTCCAGCTTCCCCACAAAGTCGTAGTCGATCTGGCAGGGGTGGCAGAGGCGGTGCACCTGCCTCCAGTGCTCGTTGAAGGGCGCCAGCTTCTCGGTGCGCGGGTCCAGCAGGTACTGGATGAAGTTGGCGAAGGACACCTTGAGGCCAGCACTGAAGGCCTCGCTGACGGACGCAGGCAGGCCGGTGCGGTTGGCGTACATCTTGAGCATGGGCACCGCGAACTTCCGATAGAACTCCTCGTTTTCCAGCTGGAACTTGCTGCGGAAGGCCGAGATGAGGCGGACGAAGGGGTCCCGCACGAACAGGAACTTGGTGTACTTCTTCAGCTTGATCTTCATCAGGTGGCGGGAGAATTTGCCGTAGCGGCGCCAAAACTTGTTGAAAGTCAGGTGGGTGCTGGAGTTGTGCACATACTCCCGGGGGATGTCCAGGGGGTCGCGGTAGGGGGTGCCCCGGTCCAGGAGGCTCTCGCTCAGCACGATCATCACGCGCTTCCAGTTGGTGCAGGCCACCTTGGGCACGTAGCAGTAGATGACCCCGTGGCGGTCGTCCACGATGAGGTGGTTGAGCTCGTAGTTGGGAATGTCGTCGAAGGAGCGCTCCTTGGTGGGGAACACGAAGCTGGCGTTGGCGCACAGCCCCCTGAGCACACTCCTCCTCTCGGCCTGCTGCCCCCCTGGGTCCGGGCCCTGTTGGGTGTCACGGGCAGACCAGTCATAGCCCCTCACGCTCTCCTCCGCGTTGCTCAGCCCAGGCCTGCTGGATGCCGGCACGGAGGGCTGCTCCGGCCTTTTACCAGAAAGGGGGCTCTGCTTTAGGCCGCCACCAAGCAGCTTTTGCAAGAACGCATCCACGTCCGACGTGAATTCCTTCTCTGCCCCGTGCCCGGGGGTGGGCAGCGGCTCCAGGGGGTGCGGCCTGGGGAAGGACGTCTGCAGGTAGAAGTGCGCGGTGCCCACGTTGTCCCAGTACACGATGATCAAGAGGACCATGAAGACAGACCCCAAGACCAGCCACAGGCGGAAGAGCCGGGTTTTGGTCATTCTGTCCGCGACAGGGCAGAGGCCCTTTCACCTGGATGCTCTCACGTCAGCTTCATGGAGACAGGACACTGCTCTCGGGACCCTGGAAAGGTAACACAGAGCCACGTTAAAGACCACCGTCCAGCTGGGGCGTCCTCTTGTGGTCTCAAGATTCCAACGGAAGGTGCTTGCGGAGGTCTCGGACTCGCTTGGTGCTCAGCGTCCCCGCCCTGCCCCTCACACCGCCATCCTCCTCAACGACCTCAACGACAATATGACTAATGCTGCTTCTAACACTGCTCCAGGGGCCCAGGAGGATGGGTGTGGCCGGCAAGGACACTGGAGACCCTTTGTCACTGAAGTGAACTGAGGGGACAGACCCTCATGCGTAAGAGGTGCTGAGGAGGAAGGAGAGGTTGTCAGCAAAACAAAAACACAAGGTCAAAGTTGAATGCATGCTACAACTTATAAACATGCTAAAGACACCCCAGCCCTGAGAAAAATCTTTCACTGTGCACATTTAATGCAGATAAACACGTCAGTGACAGGCTGCTGTGTCGCTGATGTGTGCTGGGCACTGTGCACTGTCTCTGCCCCCCTCGATATGGAAAGGGCAGAGCACGTGTGAGATCAGAGGGGAGAGAGGGAGGGTCCACTGGGCAGCTAAAAGTGGGTCCATGAGAGAGCTTTCCAGGCCTTAAAAGCACTGTCAGTGCCTGTGCAGAGGAGCCAGACAGTGGCAGAGCCATGGCTGAAGATGAGGAAAGGCTGCTTAATCTTCAAAACCAAAGGGCGCTGGGAGGGCAAAGGGAGGGCAGGCATGTGTGAATGTCAGCAGGTGCTGGAACCACACCTGGCGAGGTCGACCAGCCGGCCTGCTGGCTCAGAGGCAGGTGGCCACCCTTGTATGTGGGGAGATGCAGGCCAGACAAGGGATTTGTGGCTCACTTACAACTTCCACTGAGGGCTGTCCTTGACCACAGTCAAGGTCAATACCAGAAATGCCAGAGGACCCCATCCTTGGGCCAGTCCTGTTTGACAGATATGCTGAGCACCAACTCTGTCCCGAGTACTTCACAGGGAAGATGAGGCAGTGTCTGATCAGGTGCTGGGACAGAGAATGCTGTTTCAGTTGCAGGAAACCCAGGGCCAGGACACTAGCCTGCAGATGAGAGGACATGTAGTCATCACCTCCAGGGCCTCCTCCGGCTCCGCTTCTGGTTCCAACCCCGAGGGGGCAGCTCCATTACAGATCCGCCGACTCACTGCTAAACAACGAGAGAACCACCAGGCATAGGAAGGCTCAGAAAGGCCAGGCCAGGGACCTGGCTACTTGAGGAGCAACGGGAGGATGAGCTTGTGGGTTACTTACTGCCTGCTGCACGTCCCAGAGGGCACTGCCTCCAACCCTGAAGAGCCAACAAGCACAGGAAAGAAGTTCCAAGAAGAGCCTCCGAAGAGCCCAGGCAAAGGGCAGGCAAGAGTGGCTGCGGTAAAGGGCTGAGCTCACCCAGAGAGGCCTACCCTAACCGCAGCTCCTGGGAGGGGGCTCTGGGCCCCTGGAAGGCCTGCCCAGATGCGATGGTCTCTGTTTACTGGGGACCTAAGGCCACACCACAGCGTCTAACAATGTGATTGGGGGCTGGAGGAGCTCTGGGTTCCATGGTGGCAGCCCAATCTCCAGAGGGGCTGAAGATCGAGGTTAGCCATGTGGGGAGTTGACCCACTTGATGGCAAAGCCCCAGTAGAGACTGTGGACACAGAGACTTGGGGGGCGTACTCCACACACGCTGTCACACATCGATGCCAGGTGGAGCCGGCACTGTCCAGACCTCCACTGGGAGGGGACAACCCTTCCCTGCATCTCTTCCCCTGGCCTGTAATCTGAATCCTTTCCTGCGAGAAACCACAATAGTGAGTACAACACCTTCCAGTGAGCTCCATGGGTCCTTGCCATGAATTATCCAACTTGAGGGTAGTCTTGGGACCCCATCCCTATTCACCACTGGTATGAGGACTGAGAGGGGTCTTGGGAACTTCACAGTGATCGAACAACAAAAACATCTTTTTGGAAACCCTTGCTCTACTTAAGCCAAACGCCAGTAGAAAAATCTCCCCCACCCTCACAGTTCTGCAGGGCCAGGCAGGAAGCCCATCTTCTCCACCTGGCACCAACAGGCAAAAGATGATGGTGCAAAGCAGGGGGGTCACACTGGGATTCCCCTTCCTTTACAACGGAAGGGCCCAGGGGGAAGCTGGGCCTCCCCTTCCACACCAGGCCATAATCACTGGGATGCACAGAGGTGCCTGCATGTAGGGTTAGGTGGTACTCTGCTTCCTGTCCCACCCCAGAATGGAAAACATTTGTCAAACATTAATCAAAAGAGGTCACCCATTGAGAGCCACCTGCCAGGGTCTGGTCTGCCAGATCCCCAAGCGTGTAAACTACACTTACCTACCCTTTTGCTAGGCTCTCTCCCCCAGAGGGCAGTCCTCCAAGCCACCAGCACAGCTGGCCCACCCTGCTGGAATCTAGATTCAGAAAGATGAAAAAATAAGCTGGAAAGATGGGTCGAAAATCAGAGCTGGACACTGAAATTAGGATGAACATCAGGCTGTCCCCCTCGCTCAAAAAGAATCAACTATACAAGACAGGGACCTCAGAGGTGGACACAAAGCAAAAAAAGATGAGGAAGACAAAAGAGCAAATGTAGTGCTAATTTGTGTGAACACACATGCCTGTGGGTGTAGACCCAACACAGCTGGCCCCTGTGCCCAGTGCCGTCCTGTGACACCAGCCCTAAGGAACAATGCTGGCCATCCTCGTGGGTCCCGGAAGATGTGAATCCCTTCCAGTGAGATTACTCACCTTCACCTCTCTGTTTTGAGGTCTGTATCTTGGACGTGGACTGTCTAACAGCCCCTTTCAGGAGGTAGAGGGCAAAAGATAAATGATCACACCCATGTTCAGTGAGTGTGACAAAACTCAGACACGAGTCCAGCCTAAAGAGAAAATGGATGCAGTACTATAAAGTGGCCCAAACCCAGAATGTCCACTTTTAAGACATACCGGGAGCTATCAGTGCAGGCATCAGAGTAGACACAGCCAGAGCATGTCTTGGGGGTGCTCCAGGGAGAGCCCCTCCATCGCACACACGGACTTCTCCCTGGCTAAACCTCTCTGCATTTGTCTGCCTTGTATGCATTCGACTACATACCTGGGACCTGATGCATTTTCACTAAATGAACCTAAGACTTCATGAGGCTGAAATTTGGAAGCAATCTCCACTCACAGGTAGCTTTTGTCTATGCTCGGTTCCTTTGGATTTATTTAAGATTTATTTATTTGGGGGATGGGGAGAGCACGAGTGAGTGCATGAGCACAAGCAGAGGGAGAGGGAGAAGCAGATTCTCCACTGAGCAGGGAGCCCAGTGTGGGGCCCTGAGCTGAAGGCAGACACTTTACGTACTGAGCCACACAGGCACCTCCCTTTTTTTTAAAATATTTTTATTTTTTTTAATTTTTACTTATTTATGATAGTCACACAGAGAGAAAGAGAGAGGCAGAGACACAGGCAGAGGGAGAAGCAGGCTCCATGCACTGGGAGCCCGACGTGGGATTCGATCCCGGGTCTCCAGGATCGCGCCCTGGGCCAAAGGCAGGTGCTAAACCGCTGCGCCACCCAGGGATCCCTGTTTTTCTTTTTTAATGCTTTCTTTTTTTTTTTTTTTTAAGGATTTTATTTATTTATTCATGAGAGACACACAGAGAGAGAGAGGCAGAGACACAGGCAGAGTGAGAAGCAGGCTCCATGCAGGGAGCCCGACATGGGACTTGATCCTGGGTCTCCAGAATCCTGCCCTGAACTGAAGTTGGTGCTAAACTGCTGAGCCACCTAGGCTGTCCTCCCTTTTGTTTTTTTAATGGAGAAAGTGATACATGCTCATGATATGAAGGCCGCATACGAAGGATAGTATGTATGAGCTTTTATGTGAAAGGTGCTGAAATATTCTGGTTGCCGTCACCGTCATCGGGCAGCCCTTCCTGAGTCCCCAGTGCTCTTAACGCACACCTACAGAGAAGGCCACATGGCTGGGGAGAGAGAAACCTGGTTGACCCCACCCTGCCACAGGCCAGGGCAGCATGCAGTGTTGTGTACATGTCACATGTGAAGGGAGTCACTGTGTTACAAAGCCGTGCAAACCTTCAGGGTCAGAGGTGCCCGTCTCTGCCAGAGGGTCAGCAGGTTCCCTTGGAAGGCATCATGGGTGTGTGTGCAATAAAACAATAGCTCTAATATCCTCTTAATGGTTACAATCACACAAAGTCACAGCCTGTTTGTAAAATTAGATCACAAACACCGTGGAGATGCTGCAGAGTCACCAAATCCTGTCCACGGGTGCAGGTGCCAGCCACACACCAGGGACTGCACTGAGTACTTAGAATGCTAAGAACCACGTAAGTGAATTTTCGGTTATGATGAATAATCCATAAATACAACACGTAACATATAAACAAATACCTCTGCTTATTTTCCAGCCAAGTAGTAGTACATGCACGTTGACAAATGCCAGGGCCCATGACATTTTTTGAAAACTGACTCTCTTTACTAATAATTTATTTATTTGTTTGTTTGTTTATTTATTTAAAAGATGTTTTTAAATTTATTTATTCATGAGAGACAGAGACAGAGAGAGAGAGAGAGAGAGAGAGAGAGAGAGAGAGAGATGCATAGACACAGGCAGAGGGAGAAGCAGGCTCCATGCAGGGAGCCCGACGTGGGACTCGAGCCGGGGTTTCCAGGATCACACTCCGGGCTGCAGGCGGCGCTAAACCGCTGTGCCACCGGGGCTGCCCTCTTTACTAATAATTTAATATGACTTCAGTTTAATTGCAAGGAAAAGACATGGCCAATTATTTTTAGGAGCATATAATACATCAGATAATGTCTTTTTAATAGGAGCTGCCCTTTAAAGACCTCTCACCGTGTGCCAGACGCTGGGAGGAGTGTGCTACCCACATATCTTCCTTCAGGCCCTCTGCACACGACCTCAGGGCAGGGAGCAAAACCCTCCTACAGCTGAGGAGCCTATGGCCCAGAG